AGGGTCTACCTGGGCAGATAAGTATTAGTATTAACTCCTTAGGTGGTGTTCCTCTACAAAATTAAGTTTCTTTATTGTTTTCTTTGACTCCTAATGTGACTGAGCCCAACACTCACTCATGATAATACACTTACAGTAAACTAGGAATTGGAGGGAACTTCTTTAACTTGATAAAGATCATCTCCAAAAACACCACAGCTGGGCGCCTGGGTGGCTCAGTCGGTTAAGCTTACGACTTCAGCTCAGGTCACGATCTCACAGTCTGTGAGTTCGAGCCCCGCGTCAGGCTCTGTGCTGACAGCTCAGAGCCTGGAGCCTGCTTCAGATTCTGTGTCTCCCCCTCTCTCTCTGCCCCTTCCCCGCTCATGCTCTGTCTCTCTCTGTCTCAAAAATAAATAAAAACATTAAAAAAATTAAATCAAAAACACCACAGCTAACATCATAGGTAACCACGAGAGACTGGAAGTGCTCCTTCTAAGACCAGAAACGAGGCAAGGATGGCCTTATGACCGCCCTTTTTTAGGGTTGTACCTGAAGTCTAGGCTCATACAGTAAGACAAAAGCATTCAATAAGAGGTATACTGACAGGGTAGGAAGAAATAAAACTAACTTGATGAACAAGTGATATGGATTTCTATGTATGAAATCCAAAAGAATCTACACAACACGAGAATAAGAAGCACTCTTAGATCTGACAAGGGATGACAGCACGGTTGCAGGAAACACAAGCTTCCTACATGACACTCAATTACTCACTTACACACCAGCAACGAAGAAATGGAATTTGATTCTGAAAACACAGTACCGTTTACACTGACAATGCAAAAGTGAACTATTTAGATACAAATCTAATAAAATATGCACAAGATCTTTGTGAGGAAAACTACAAGACCTGATAAACAAAATCAGAGAAGACTAAATACATGCAGAGATAGACCATGTTCATGGATAAGAATGCTCAATATTGTCTAGATATCCATTCTTCCTAACTTGATCTATACATTTGGTCAACTGCAATCTACATCCCAGCAAGTTATGTTGTAGGTATTGATCATGTTATTGTACAGTTTGCGTGGAGAGAAAATGACCCAGAGGAGCCCACACCATGTTACAGAAGAGCAAAGGTGGACAACCGACACCCCCTCCTTCAAGACCTCCTATAAAGTTACAGTCACCGCTGGAGGGGCCAACATGGCAGAGAAGTAGGGGGATCCATACTTCCCACATCTCTCAAACAAAGAAGGGCTGAAGCCAAAGGACTTTGAACCCCAAGAGTCTGGGAGGAAAAGAGACTGAGTCTACCAGGGAGAAACTGGGACAACCTGATGGACAACAGGTGGGTGATTGCGAACTGGGGGAGATAAAACGGGCCCGTGTAGGTACAGAGGGGAGGGATGCCCTTTTGTGGAGAGACAAAGGGAAGAGAAAGAGTGGCTGGGGAAGCGTAGAACTGTATCCGGAAAAGGGAATAAAATCTCGGACGAGGACGGAGAGGGATCCCACCTCTAACTGCAGGTTAGAGGATCTCTAATTGCAGATCCCATCTTCAGACTGGGGCCGGCTGCCCTGTTCGCACACCTGGGGAGGAGGGGAGCCACCTCTGGGTTCGGTGATAGATCAGGGGCGCAGTCCACAGCAGGAGAAACTGGTCCCCTCCCCAAAGTGCTGCGGCACAGGACAAAACCAGCCAAGACCTCACCCCGGGAGGCACTTCCCTAGTACCAGGGCACACAGACCAGGAGTTTAATTCCCAGCCAAGCACCAGGGCAAAAGAGTTGTGGGAGTGAGACAGACAGCCTTGTCTGCACCCGCAGCACAGTGACGATGGTTCCTAAGGAGTGATTTGGGACACCAGGTCATGGAGAAAAGGCGGGGGGGGGGGGGGGGAATCACCATTTTTCTCCCCACCACTACCAAGGCGGGGCCTCAGGGATTGGTTCTCAGGGCCCACAGTGGAGGCGGGACCAGCCTGCACTAAACCACGCCCCTCCGTGTTGGATAACTGCGTATCTACTGGACCGGGATAGACAGTGTGGAACCAGATGGCCCTCTCCTCCAGGCCAGCGCTACAGCGGTGCCTGGATTAATTCTAGGACAATTCTTGTTACATAGATATATTCTCCCCCCCCATTTCTCCTCTTTATCTCTTCCTTCCTCTAGGCTGGTTACTCTGGTTATTGGTTTGTCTACACAGACCTATTCAATCCATTCTCTTGGTACATGTTCTACACCTCCTTCTTTACGCTCCTTTCTCTCTCTCTGGAGAGATCCCCCCCCCCTCCCCGGCTCCTTCCTTATTCTCCTTTATCTCTCTCTGAATTAAGCGTTTTAGTCTCTCTGCCTGGCCAATGTTTATTTTCTCCTTTTCCCTCTGCCCCCGTCATTTCTCTCGCTGTATGTGCTCTTCCATCAGCACCTCCTCCACCTCTTCTTTATTGTAGCTGGTGTTTCTGTTTCTTTGCTTTTGGATTGTTTTTAGTTTTGTTTTTGTTTGTTTGTTTTATTTGTTTGTGAATTTGCATGTTTTTGTTTCCTGTTTGTCTGTTTGTGTTCCTTTCCAGGGCTACTTCAAGGAAAAAAATCAAAGCACACCTGGTGGAAGGTCCAAAACATCACTACGAGCAGGGAAATAAAATAACCAAAGTCACAACAACAGAGAGCAAGTAACCCTCTCCAAAAAACACCTCCAGAAGGGTCAGGCCCTGGACAGTGTATGACCCACCCCTTTAATATAGCAGTGCTCACAGGTGCAGAGCACATCACAAACTTTTAAATCTCATAAGGGACAGAAAACTAGCCAAAATGATGAAACACAAGAATTCTCTTCAAGAGAAATTCCGGGAAGTGACGGGCCAACTCAACCATCCCGTTCGTGCCCCTGTGGAGGTGGTCCAACTGGAGAGAGGCAGGCAAGGGCTTCTGTCTGGGGACGGGGACTTTGGGATTCTTGAGGACACAGGGAGACTCCTGGGTGGCCGGGGCATCCCTGTCCTGTTACCAAGATTTTTGTTTTCCTCCTTTTGCGATTTACTCATAGATGTGAGTGACGAGGCACATGCTGGGAACAATTCACACTTCTCCCTACTCACCGCCCTTGTGTGTCTAGAACACCAGTAACTCGGAACATGAGCCCCAGGTTTCTGAGCTGCTTGTATTTTCTCTTTTCTGATTTTCTACACTCATCCCTGAACATGATCCACTGGAAAATCCCGTCATATTTGGGTGGCGAGACCACCACATTTTGCGGAGAGAGGGTCCCTGAGGGAGAAACTACTAAGGACTCAGGGGGGCCTGGGGGAACC